AGGTGCATTTTCATATCACCAGCCTAGAGAGAGCTGAGAATGCCGGAATTCCAACTATTCCAATACTCCCCTTCGAACGTGATGGAGATTGATTTGCCGTTCGGTAACAGCTTCGTGTTCACGGAACGACGACCAGTACAACAATGCAAGGAGAGCATCTTAAGCACGGATTCGCAACCAGATTTTTGTGGAGACAACAGAGTGAATTTGATTGGAGTGGGGGCCACCTAAGAACATTCAACTTCCCTCCTCACTGATGCACAAGGGATAATTTCGGACATGATTAAAATAATCTTTTTACACCAAGGATGACGGAAGTGGGGAACACCAGCTCTGTCGGATACGACTGTCGAAGATTGGCTGACGGGCACTCAGTCGATTACGCGAGAAGCTGACAAGGAGTTGAACTGTGGTTTAGCTGTTGCTTTTTGAACACGAGTTGCTGGACGCGACACTTGACGTCAACCTTCGTAGACAGCAGAATGTAGACCCGTCCCTTTGGCTAGGGGAACAAGTAAATGCTGCACTGTGAAAATCAAAAGAGGGTCGTATTACGGAGTGATAGAGTGCGGAGATCAGCTAATGCTGGGATGACTTTCACATTTCTCCCTATCTTCGTTTAGTGCGCCGCTCAGTGAAGAAGGCGACTGGGTAGTCTCGTCCTCGCTCGCGGTACTAGTTTCGGAGAGTGTCCTCTGTCGGCATAGTGCATGTTCATAAAAATGCACACGCCTCTCTTATCTTCAGCTGGACGGGCGTGACCAAACTGACTTCCTTGGATTTGCTTTCAAGCGTTGGAAGGATGAGTGCTTGAGAGTGAAGAGGAGATACGATGGTGGCGAATGGAGATATGAAGGATGAAGATCGATGGAATCCCTCCCATTTCAATCGACAGCGGCATCAATTACGGAACTGGGGGAAGAAAGCGAGAAGGGTCGATTCGTAACGGAGTTCTTGCCATGACGAGGAAGAAGAAATGTTTGGGGCCTTATTCAGTGGAAGTTAAAAAAGAATTAAAGAGCTTCATCCCATGCAGTCGTCGAAAGAGTCCGTCAATTCCAAGAGGCAGCCGTCAAAATATGGAAGATCAGCTGATGTAAACACGTCAGTCGATACTTTCACCATCGCAGAAACAGTCATTGATTGATTACCGTGAAACGTTGAGAAAAGGC